TAGACAAATAGTGAATGTGCTTGACTGGCCTGCCTGCAGTCCAGATCTGTCTCCAATTGAAAATGTATGACCAGTCATGAAAAGGAGAATCAGACAACGACGATCAGAGACTGCTGAGCATCTGAAGTCTTGTATCAAGTATATCATATTTCTTAAAAATTACTGAATTATAGAGCTCTCTAATTGTAATTGTTACTAGTAAAAGTTGATTTAGAGCTCTTTAATTGGCATAGTTCACAGTAAAAATGTAATTGTTGAGCTATGTAATTTAATTGTTACTAGTAAAAATGCAATTATGACGAGTAGTGCTGGGAACATTTTAAGCTAAAACGGCTTGCCATAATCGAAATCCTGAAAACACTGATGAATGCTTTGAGTTCACATTTAAACAAAAGAGAAATGGTAAAAATACTGCCAGTTGATGAAAATACAGTGAGAAATGCCTGACAACTTTACAAAACACATAAAAACGCATTACTAATGACTGAACTGATGCGAAATGTGACCTACATTTGTTCAAAATAAAAATCACAATTATGCAAACTCAGTCAGATATGAAGTTATATAGCTCATGTTTAATAAGATCAACTACATATTAGATTAAGATGAATATTTATGAGCTCTCAGTGAATAACGCGTGTACTATAAACATAAACCGCATTTATTTTTCTGACACGTCTTTTGTTCAGGTGAACAGATGAAGCTTCCAGCCGCGCGGAGAGCGGCGACAGTCATCCTCATGCCACGAGAATCGCGCTGTTGACGCGTTGTTCACAGATGACAATATCGCGTTAGCTCGACGCGGCTACAGCTAAACTAGCCGAACCTAGCGAGCTAATGCTTCCACTTACGTTACACTCACATATGACATACAAACTATGTAACACACGCGGATCATCGCCGTTTCTCTTACCTGAGCCAGCCCACTTACAGCCGCTCCATAACTCGCGCCGATATTTACAATTAGTTGGACAAAATCTGCATTTATCGCGCCAGATTATGATCGTCTGCGCGAGCTGCTTCAGCTGGTACACCCAGCAGTCAAACTAAGCTTGGCGGTGTCCTGTCAGGACGCGTGCTGATTGGATACACGCGGTGTGACGTCTCGCATTCACGACTCATACGTAACACATCGAAATCCAACATATGTTCTTCTTCTTCTTCTTCTTCTTGTTGCTTTACGGCGGATCGCAGACTTATAAGTGCATTACCGCCACCTATATCTCAAATGGACCATTGACACTCTATCTACAATCTCCTGATTAACCTAGCAACCCACATACAAACACCCTTGATTCTTGTACCCGCTTAGAGTCTTCATAGAGCCCAACATATGTTTGTGATACCCTTTAATTTTTATTTCATCCTTTGTTGTTTCAATTTATTGTTATTGCTGTTTCATTTGTGCTTGCTGAGGAAAAAAGTCAGAATTTTCAGACAAAAAAAAATGCAATTGCCTTTTTATATTTTTATTCCATGGCGAACATAAGCTTCCAAATAATGAAACAAACAAATCAAACATAATGACAGAAAGCTCAGTCAGTCTGACGAAAACCCCAAATTAAATTATCATAACAAGCTAATTTTACCCTTCATGACAACTGTGAGGGGGGTGAATTTTTGACACTACGTCCATGTTTTTATACAGTCCATGTATGTAACACGCAGATTAGCTTCTTTCGTTAATGACCTGATTAAATCTGTTTCTATGGTCTGTTATTAAGCATGTTGAAACATGTCAGAGATGCAGTATGCATTTTGGCATTTTAAAACATTAATTTTGCACATGCACACACTCGACTGCATTACTTTGACCTACAGTAGTATATTTACATTCACAGTAGTGGATGAACGGCTCTTTGTAGCTTTCCGCGAGGGTGACTAACACATTTTGGAAGCTAGAGGCTGTCTACAAGATGCCTCTATGCCTTTAAGTGGTCAGTCTTTTCTGACTGGTGTGCAGCATGGAACGAGGACCCGTCCTCTTGTGACATGTCATCTGTGCTAACCTTTCTGCAAGAGCTGCTGGATAAGGGGTGTACCCCTTCCATACTCAAAGTTTATGTGGCAGCCATCACAGCAAATCATGCTCTCATGTCTGGCCAGTCAGTTGGCAAAAACTACCTTGTCGTTAAGCTCCTGAGGGGAGCTCAGATACTGAATCCACCTCGTCCTCATACTGTGCCAACCTGGGACTTATCCACAGTCCTTAAGGCCCTATGAGGCCCTCCCTTTGAGCCACTCCAGTTGGCCGAATTGCGGCCCCTGTCACTTAAGAGTTCCCTCCTTCTGGCTTTAGCGTCAGTCAAGTGAGTGAGTGATTTACAAGAGCTGTCAGTCAGTGCTTCATGCCTTGAGTTTGGGCCTAACGACTGTAGAGTTGTCCTCAAACCAAGACTCGGCTATGTGCCTAAAGTGCTCTCCATTCCGTTCAGAGCACAAGTCGTCACCCTTCTAGCTCTTCCTAACCCAGAGGATGAGCAGCGTCCTAATTTACTCTTAGAGAATTCTTAATTTGCTCTTAAGAGTATATGTAAAGCACTCTAGCCACTTCTGTCATTCAGAGCAGATCTTTGTATGCTTCGGAGGTTGCTCTAAAGGGCTGCCAGTTACGAAGCAGAGATTATCCTGCTGGATAGTTGATGTTATAGCCCTGGCTTACGCCTCAGTGGGCTTACAGTGTCCTATTGGAGTGAGGGCCCACTTCACCAAAGGAATGGCCTCCTCCAGGGCTTGGACCAGTGGAGTTTCTGTTGGTGATATCTGTGCGGCTGTCGGCTGGTCTCCGGCTGGTTCATCAAAACATTAGAGATGCATCGGTTGACCGGCCATAAATCAGAACCGGACGTTTTTGCTTTATTTCGGCCGATCAAACAAACTGCATTTCATTCATTTTCCAAAAATAATTTGTGTTGAAATATTACGAAGTCTGTAAACAGGACATTAACAGAGGCCAGGGACGCTGAAAACGGACACAAAAATGGAGAAAATACTGTAGCAGGCAAAGCAAGGTCACTGTTCATGATGCTTAAAATATTGGAAGAGAATCATAAATATTAAATTGGGGGTAGGAGCTGTATGAATGTATCTCTGAGGGGAACTGACTGTCTTTAGAAAGTTTCAATGGTATTTTATTTTCATCTTGCCTCTGTATAATGTATATTAAAGTAGTATTTATATGCACAGCACTGCTTTGTTTACAGCGGTAACCAAGGAAATGCTGTATCGCTGCTGTCACCTGCTGTCAGAGTGAATTTCATTTAGCTCGTCTGCTGTTTTTGTTTTGTGCAGGTCTGATTTATTTAGCATATTTTCACAAAGCCAAAGTCAGACCATTCTGTTTTTGCTTCAAATTTTGAATTTATACAATCTAATTTAAATCAAAAACTGCTCATGCTACATGTGGCATCTTTGTTTGTATCATGATTAAAATTCAGTGGTCGCCTCTAATTTTTAATGCAGACAGTTCTGCCTGTAAACATCTTGTTAATGTACTCATATTTTCATCCTTTCTGGTCTTTTGCCTAAAACAAAACAAATATAAAAAAAAAATTGGCTATTGGTATCAGAATCGGCTCATTTGCTTATAAAAAATCAGCAATCAAAATCAAGATCAGTGTATCTCTAATGGACATATTTGACGTCCATTAGAGACATTGTGCATCACTTTTTTCTACTGTCCAAAAAATTTGTAATTTTTGTGAACAATCCCTTTAACTATATATCCTATACATATATCTATATATTATCTAAAACAGTTGATACAATCAGCTGTGCCATTATTTATAAAATTTACTTGTACTTTTGATTGTGCAGGTCTGATTTATTTAGCATATTTTCACAAAGCCAAAGTCAGACTGTTTTTGCTTCAAATTTTGAATTTATACAATCTAATTTAAATCAAAAACTGCTCATGCTACATGTGGCATCTTTGTTTGTATCATGATTAAAATTCAGTGGTCGCCTCTAATTTTTAATGCAGACAGTTCTGCCTGTAAACATCTTGTTAATATACTCATATTTTCATCCTTTCTGGTCTTTTGCCTAAAACAAAACAAATATAAAAAAAAAATTGGCTATTGGTATCAGAATCGGCTCATTTGCTTATAAAAAATCAGCAATCAAAATCAAGATCAGTGTATCTCTAATGGACATATTTGACGTCCATTAGAGACATTGTGCATCACTTTTTTCTACTGTCCAAAAAATTTGTAATTTTTGTGAACAATCCCTTTAACTATATATCCTATACATATATCTATATATTATCTAAAACAGTTGATACAATCAGCTGTGCCATTATTTATAAAATTTACTTGTACTTTTGATAATTAAGTAGTTTTAATATCAGTTGCTTTAAAACTTTTACTTAAGTATTTTTCTTATGAGCAACTTAAACTTTTACTTGAGTCAATTTCCATAAAGCTATCTGTACTTTTACTGAAGTATAACAATTGGATACTTTATACAACACTGGCTGCACCTTTGATTATAAGATTGTTAAATATATGTCATTGAAACGCCCTTATTTTTATCATAATGTCACCCTTATTGTGTACAGTAGTTTTGGCCCTGCAAATATGTAGCTCATATCCTTCAATGTAGTCACTTATTTAACACATAAAGAAAACCCTCAATGATTGGAGTGAGGTTTTTAATTGTATTTTTTGACCTAATTGAGAATTAAAAGTCCAGAGAAATGATTCTGAATATTCCAGTTACATCTATGATTAATTTAACCTATCATCCCAATGAAGAACTGCCACCTTGTGCTTAGAATTCAACTTCAGCATGAATCATAAATGAATACAGTCAAGCTTTAGTTCTTGTGCTGTGAATCATCTTCAGTAAACTCACACATCTGCATGTACCAAAATCTGCAGTGCAAAAGCTTCTCATCTTCATAACAGGTGCATTATTTGGCTTGTCTGCTGACATCTGCTCCTTTCAAGGCACATGTTACACAAATAAATAACATTTGGTCATATATAACATTATAACACATGATGACGTTATAGAAGCTGGAGTCTTTTTTTTTTTTTTTGCAAGCTGTGTCCTTTTCTTTCACTACCGTGTAAATATTTCATATATTAATGCTCTGCCCTTCTGTTTCTTACAATCTGTTTGTCATCAATATGATGCATTAATGTGAGATGCGTCATTCTAACACAGCTCATCCGCATGTGGCGTTGGTTCAGGTGAGTGGTTTCCTCTCAGTCCGTGGGATGCATTTGAGCGTAGCGGCTCTCCATAACACCGGAGCAAGGAGGAGACTTAACGTGGTGACGCTGAGAACCAACAGATACACCTGTGAGCAACAACAGAGGATGATGATGAGCTGAAGGAAATGTAGTGTTATTTAAGTTTTATTTATATACTTTTCTATTTACTTATGCACCAAAAGGAAAATGAGGATGCACTTGGCTGAATACCAAAAATACATTTTATATAATAATCAATTAATTAATTAAATGTGTTTGATAATCAACACTCATAAACGGAGTTGTACAAATATTTAAATTGCACACAAGGCTGTTTTTATATCATCTTTAAAGAACAGAATTATGTTTCTACTCAGATATGTTGTTGAAATATAAACATTCAAAGGGAAACTGTAAAAATAACTTTTCATGACAGATTTATTCAAACATACATTAAATAATGAAGACAACAGCTAAAGTAAAAAATATTATGAATCTGTAATATCTATAAAGTGTATATATTTATCAAAATGCTCCTTTATAGAGCTTTTTATCTGACTAACGTGTTTATGGACATTGAATGGTTTTCCTAAGGTAAATGTGATGTCATGTCTTTTGGCATCTCTCTGCATAGTTTATCCACATTGTGTTCCTGAATTAGACACTGACAGTCAAAACATTCCATCGGAGAAACACTCATTTAAAACGGTTTCAGCCAAAAACTTTCGGTTGTCAACATTTTTGTGCATTACTAATTAAAAAATGTAGCTTTTATTTTTATATTTTCAATTTTTATTTTAATTTTTGTTGAAATTTTAGTAATTGTATGTGCTTTTATCTTTTAAATTAGTTTATTTCCATTTAGCTTTAATTTATTTGTATTTCAGTTTTAGTTTTAGTAATTTTAGTACATCAACTTATACTTTAATTTCAGTTAGCTAACCCAGGCAAGATTTCCAATTTCCACTTTATAAGCTTAAGTTTTTCATCTAATATTTATATTTTATTTCAATGAATGAAAACTATTTAGTTTTAGTTACCAATCACTGCATCAACACATTCACATGTGTCTGAAACCACTTGTTCACTCCTACACTATTCAGTAAATGTCACATAATTCACTTTAAAAAATGAAATAAATAATTAAAATCAATAAATAAAAATACTATATAGATTGGATAAATTAGTATTTTTCACTGCCTGTTTGAATAAAGCCACCGTTTCAACACTCTAGGAGCAATGAGAGAGAATCAGACACCAGTCTTTCACGGAAATGAAGTGAGATCACTGACCTCTCTAGAGATGATGCCGGCCCGACGTGCACGACTGCCCAGGACGAAGGAGAACTCACTGACCTGCGCCAGTCCAGCCGACACTAGCCAGCGGATGTGACGCGATCCCGGAGGAAGGATAGCCGACAGAACAAGAACCGCCATTATGAACTGAGATGAGAAGAGCAGTGTGAGAGTCATATTTAATAGAACAGGGTAGGGCTGGACGATATGGCCAAAATTGATATCACGATATATTTCTTAATTTCGGTCGATATGATATAATTCCGATATCGATATGAACACTATTCCCATTACTCATTAAAAGAATAGGGACAAACCTTTTAGACAATGCGCCGGGCGCGCAGACCATTGTTCCTGTCCTTAAACTAGCAAAAGTGGATTCGGACACACCCTAAGCACAATTGCGCCGTGCGCTGTAGACCATGTGATTAGATCGTTAAAATAGGGCCCATGGTGTTAAATGGAGGCGCTGTTAGAGTGATAGAACTAGCGGTTTCTCCAGTATTGGCTGTAATCAAAGCAGCTCGGCTCATGAATGCTACTTTATCAGATCAAATGAAAATGCCATCGAAACTTTTCTGAAGACAGTCAATTCCCTTCAGAGATACATTCATATAAAACACCCGCGCCGTGTTATGAATTTGAAACGTGCAGTGCTCATGTTTATTCAACGAAGTCAAACGGCACAAATAAATCAATGTATGGGAAACTGGTAATGTATATCGAAATATCGGAAATGTGTTTAAAAATCATATCACCGTTATTGAAAAAAATTATATCGCGATACATATTGATATTGAATTATTGTCCAGCCCTAGAACAGGGCTTCTGAAAAAGGGTCTTCCCTGCCACAATTTAAGGCCTAAAATGCTCTACAGTTTTCTTGACTGCTAACACACAATTGATGACTATAAACACAATCTCAAAACTACACACCAACTTGTACAAACTTCAAATTTCTCGGTCAAAGTCAAATATTTTAGTCAAAAACATACCCTCTTTTATCAGAATCAAACTTTGGCCTCAGATGACACACAAACACTGACAAATACACAGACTACTTTCCTGCCTGGAGAACAGTAGTGAGATCAGTTCAAAACACAAAAACCTCCTTTTGGGAATCAGGAATCATTTTGCAAGTCAATGTCTATTACAGTATACAACATAAATAGAGGGGTGCAGATATAGTGAAATTCAACAATAAGCTTTAAGAAAAGTTTACTTTCATTACATTACTGTAATGATGTTGCAGTAGATGAAAAGCACTAAAAAAGAAAAGTTTAAATACCAAAGAATTGAATATGAACACATAATACATTATACTCACGGGTGCACATACATTTTTCAGCCTGGTTCTCATAAGAGAACCTGGAGATTTGGTTTGGTCCTCACACTGCACATAGTGTAACCCATTAAATACAACTCTAAAAAATAAATTAATCGTAGTGATAATATTGTTGAACTTTATTTATTTAGTGTTTTTTAAAATAAAATAATAAAGTGTGATAATACTATTATAATTTTAAATAAAAATGGAGTATTAAATACAAATACAACTATTTTATAGTAAACTTAAAAATAAAATGCTAATATTTACTTCTTTTTTTAAAGATGAATTTTCATAATTTTCAAACGTAAAATCAGCAGTCTTTTATTTTGGCGGGTTGCCGGCAAGTAAGTATATGCGCTTCCGGTGTTGTGCCCATTTTCGACCCCCTGCCAAATTATTACCCCTCTCGTTGAAATCGCTATCTGATTGCCTAATCCTAACCCCTCCCCCGCACCAAACCCTAAACCTACCAATACTAGGGGGGTAATAATCTGGCAGGGGTCAGAATTGGGCACAACACCGGGTTTAGCGCTGCCGACTGAAGCGCATCAGTGAATGAAATGTCACAGTTTTGCATTGTGCTTTGAAAACGGCAGCGAGTAGCCTAGATTTATTTATCTATTCAGTTTGAACAGAAAGTTTGTCGATCTAAAATGGTAATTGTACATTAAAAGCTGTCAACCATGTCGGTACGCAAATGCGCTGTCAGAACTTATTTACACAGCGCATTTTTTATTTTGGTCGCACATGCGCACCTGTGTACCACTTGTGTGCACCCCTGATTATACTGTTAATTACTGTACAGTGAAAAATAAATAAATGCATTCAGAATTCTCTGCCATACTATAGTTTCTTAGTCTTCTGACAAAAGACTTTCTCTACCTCCCCTAGACAGTCATCTACTATAGGGGGTGGCATGTGGGGGGGGGGGATCACCTTGGGTATGGCAACGAACCACCATACGGAAACGCCGCCCCTGACAGTTAAGAGTTTGAGGGTGTACAACATGTGCTACAGTACAGAGTTGTGAAAGTTCTCTCATCTAAAGTAATGCCAGTATGTACTGTAATTATACTGTATGTGTAAGTAGTATAAAAACCATGATGACCCTATAGGCCAACTTCCCTTATGGTCATTCCATGCACAGGAACATGGACTACTATAGTCTTTGTACTTTATCAGGAACAAAATGTCCTTTCACGCCTTCATTTTTCTTTTCCCTTCCTCTTCCTCTCATCTTTTTCTTCATTTTCCAAAGCACATAATCACCTGTGCTCCTATTTATATTATCCTGACATTCTGACTGGTGTGTCACCAGTTTTGCTACTTAATGTTTACACATGGATAAATGTGTGCTATTTGAGGTCAAAATTGTGATGCTTGAGGTAATTCAATTGTGTTTTCTGAATGAGAACATTCAACCTATGTTAAACCTGTGCAAAATGAGGGCATTTTTGTGTAGTTTTGCAGAAAATATTAAGCAAATTGGTATGCGTGTGAAAACAGGTGGTCTGTGTAAAAGTTCTGAGAAATGTGTCTTTGTTTTGAGAACTGAATGAATAGTTTGGAAAAGTGAGCCAAAAGAATCAATTATAGTGTGAAAAAAAAAAAACAGTAATCAGAGCAGAAAGTCTTAAAAACATAAAGTCGTGGTATTTAATGTTGCATGCACTGCAAAAAATGAATGTCTTCCTCTGTATTTTTGTCTTGTCTTGTCTAAACATCCTTAAATTAAGATACATTTACAGGAGATGAAAAATGAACATATGAAGTCTTGTTTAAGAAACTGAACAAAATGAAGTGAGTTCAAGCTTAAAACAACAACAAATATCTGTCAATGGGGAATGAAAACTTGTTTTCCCTTTGAATTAAGTAGATTTTTTAAACACATTGGCTCAAATATTTGTTCTCATTTTAATCATAAACTCACTTCATTTTGATCTATTTGTCATTAAAACAAGACTCCTTATCTTATGTCATTTTGCTTCGCCATTAAATCTATCTTGATTGAATAATCTTTATTCATTTGCACTGGAAAATAAGACAAAAATACTGATGAAGAACATCACATTTTTGCAGTGTGCTCAGAAGGTACAGTAAAAGTTTTTTTCCCTATTCTAGTGTTTGAGAGCAGAGCTACTCAAGACTTAAAGGGGTCATATGGTGTTGATAAATATAACACTATTTTGTGTATTTGGTGTAATGAAATGTGTTTATGCGGTTTAAGGTAAAAAAAACACATTATTTTCCACATACTTTACATTATTGTTTCTCCTCTATGCCCCGCCTTTCTGCTGTAATGTTGCTGTTTGAGCATAAAAGAGATCTGCAAAGTTACAAAGCTCAAAGTCCACTTCAAAAGGAGATATTTTATTTTAATAGAAAACAAAAACTACAACGAACGACTCGTTTGGACTACAACGCATATTTTCCGGGATTTGTGAAATCACAAATACGGACGAATGGGACGAGACCTTGAGCTGCACTAAAGAAGGCAACGAGTGTTATCACTATGTTGGAGACACGCTAGCTTTGAGCATAATAGGACCCCTTTAAATATTCCTTCATCAAACCATCAGAAACCCTGATATAAAGAAACAAGCTTGATATGAACACAATTACCTTCATAATGACTAGTGAGAAGGTTAAGATCAGCAGGATGGTGAGCTCATACAGAACGAAGGTCGGGAACACGTGTAGCCCTGTGGAAAACACCATCAGATATTCAGTGTGCTGCTGCAGATCAAACTGCATTTGCTTTCCCATATTATATTAAAACTTCAATTATGTTTTTTTTTTATTATCATAATTCACAGCTACAGGACCCTCAGCTCACCAATAGATGCAAAGAAGATGATAGCCAGGAAGTCTCTGATTGGTTCAGCACAGCTCATGACCTCAGTGGTGACCATGTGACCTTGTGAGGAGAGCAGCGCTCCTGCCAGGAAGCAGCCCAACTCCATCGACACGTCCATGAATTCTGTCACCTGACATGATGAAATATAAGCATGTTACATTACACCTGAGGTGAGGTTCTTCATGCAAGAGCACACATAAACTCAAGAGACAGACAAACGTATGTGAAGGAGCCGCTTACCGTCAGCATCAGGAACACAAATGCACTGGTGCCCAGCACTAGTATTTCCTTGTTTCCTTTGCTCTCAGTATGCAGCTTCCTGTAGAACGGACCAACCAGATGAGAGCGCACCAGCCAACACATCAGCAGCACAGCCACCAGAGACACCAGAACCCGGGCCAGCAGAACCAGCACATGCAGCGCTCCCATCAGAACACTGTGGAAAAATGAGGATTCATATTCACTCCACAATCAGAAACACACTGCCATCCAAAAGTTTGAAATAACTGAGATTTTTAATGTTGTTGAAAGAATCCTCTTCTTCTCACATTTATTCTCACATTTCTCTTTTCACATTTACTTTTCTTCTGTTTATTTGATCAAAAAACGCAGTAAAAACAGTAAAATTGTGAAATATTATCACAATTTAAAATACGTTTTTTCCATCTCAATATGTTAAAATGTAATTTATTCCTGTGATCAAAGTTGAATTTTCCGCTTCATTACACCAACAGTGGACAAGGGTTTGCTACATTTTGATTGGATCTTGGTGGACTAACATAAGCAAACTGCACAAAGCCATCAGACAGAGATGCTAGGACAATGGCCAGACACCTCTTAGAGAGCATGAAGAAAAACTCTGGTACCAAGCCCAGGAAGGACGGGACTTGTCATTGGTCCACATTCAGTTTCTGCCCTTCACCCATCTAGAGACTAATTCCTAAGGCTTTGGCCTGTGACTGCCATAAAAATTCCTTAGGACCAATGGATTCAGCAGCAGTAGTGTGTCTGATGTACCCATAACTGCACCTTTAAAGACAAGTGATTTGAAAAATCACGTCATCTGTGAAATCATTCTAATATGATTTGCTGCTACAGTTGTGCTGCTTCATATTTTTGTGGAAACTGTGATACATTTTATTTTTCAGGATTTTTTGATGAATGGAAAGTTTAAAAGAACAGCATTTATTTGAAATATAAATCTTTTGTAACACTATAAATGTCTTTACTGTCACTTTTGAACAATTTAATGCATCCTTGCTGAATAAAAGTATTCATTTCTTTATTTTTGTTATTGTACTTAACCCCACACGTTTGAATGGTAGTGCATCACGATTTCCACAAAAACTGAAAAAAAGCCTTGGTGAGCAGAAGTGACATCTTTCAAAAAGATTAACAAATTTTAACAATTTAAAAAAAAAAATTGCCAGCAGTGTATGTATGTGTATACATATTTACATACATTCTGGCACTCTCACACACTTACATTCTCGCTTTCACACACATACATTCTGCTTTTACATACATGCATTTGTACTCTCACACACATACATTCTCCTTTCACATACATATATTTTTGCTTTCACACACTTACATTCTCCTTTCACATACATGCATTTGTACTCGCACACACATGCATTTCTGCTGTCACACACATACATTCTCCATTCACATATATGCATTTGTACTCTCACACACACACACACACACACACACATGCATTCTCCATTCACATAGATACATTTCTACTCTCTCTCGCACACATACATTCTCCTTTTACATACATGCATTTGTACTCTCACACACACATACATTCTCCATTCACATACATACATTTGTACTCTCTCTCGCACACACATACATTCTCCATTCACATAGATACATTTCTACTCTCTCTCGCACACATACATTCTCCTTTTACATACATGCATTTGTACTCTCACACACACATACATTCTCCATTCACATACATACATTTGTACTCTCTCTCGCACACACATACATTCTCCATTCACATATATGCATTTGTACTTTCTCTCACACACTTACATTCTCCATTCACATACATGCATTTGTACTCACACACATACATTCTCCATTCACATACATACATTTCTACTCTCTCTCGCACACATACATTCTCCTTTCACATACATGCATTTGTACTCGCATACACATGCATTTCTACTGTCACACACATACATTCTCCATTCACATATATGCATTTGTACTCTCACACACACACACATGCATTCTCCATTCACATACATACATTTCTACTCTTTCTCACGCTTACATTCTCCTTTCACATACATGCATTTGTACTCTCACACACACATACATTCTCCTTTCACATACATACATTTCTACCTTTTTTTGGTATCCATTACTGTTTAAGCAGGAAGTCACTCTCAGACCAGGAAATACATGTGCAAGACTTGCTCAGCTCATCCTCAAAATTTTACAATGATGCTATTCAAAGTCATCCTGTTTTCTTTTCAA